TAGGTAGCTCCCAGTAGAAAAATATCAATTCAACAGCGGCCTTTTAAAGCATTCTCACTTCAATTAATTAATTAATTCCTAATTGAGTTTAAATTAAATATTGTCATGTTTTTAGTGCATGAATCTGAATTGAACAACCTGATAATGCTCACTCTGGTTATTGTTATCTGGTTGCTCACTACGTGCTCTTGCGCGCCGAATCCAATCAATTAAAAATGAAAACTGTTGCCAGCGCGAGAAAAGAAATATCATCGGTTTTATTGATACATACGTACGTATTAGCGTTTTATATAATACTAGGAGGCTTCGCCCCTTGCTCGCTGGCGCATGCCAACCCCCGGAACTGCTTTCGCAGTACATTTCGGATTGCTTCGCAATCCGATGCTCGCTTTGCTCGCTCATTAGAAACGATCTTAACGTCTAGCTTTTGTATCCTTTTTTGAACACAGAAGTTCCGAAAACTTTTCACTGTAGAACATTCTAAACCTGTGCATTTCAATATTAATTTGAAATTGCAAACAGTTCACATATTTTTCTTAATCACACTATTCTAAATTTCAGTTGTTGAGAAAAGTAACTGTTGTAAGTTTTGTTTTAAAGTCTTTCCCACCAGAGGGCTAAAACCATGTGTTGTAAAACAATATGAAATAGTACTGAAAGCCGGATGTAAAGCATCGGCTTCGATGAAGATAATTTTGTGAGAATTTTTTTGATAATTCTGTGAGAATTCACCCGATTAGACATATAGTGCTCACTACGTGCTCTTGCGCGCCGAAGCCTATCAATTTAAACGTATTAGCGTTTTATATAATATAGATTAGCCATATGATGCTCACTACGTGTTCTTGCTCGCCGAAGCATATCAATCAAAAATGAAAACTGTTGCCAACGCTAGAAAGGAAATATCATCGGTTTTATTGATACATACATACGTATTAGCGTCTTATATAATATAGATAGATTATTTTTACCTTTATTTAGACAAGAGCACTTTTTGAAAACCTCTGTTCCATTTTACTTGTACTTAAAAAAATGATATAGCATAATTAATCAATATAAAAAGGGCAAAAAGTCAATAAAAAGGAGCAAAATTAAACTATTTGTTTGTTTTATAACTAAAAAATTCAGTTGCCGTCGTTATATTTAAATAAGCATTTTAATAGAGTTAAATTGACTTGTATTAGAGAAAGTGCGCAAAATAAAAAACGGACCACCCTAAATTTTTGATCTAATGATTATTTTTGATCTTTACGATCTAGGACTCAATCTTAATGGTTAGAGGGGTTGACCTCAAATATGCTAATTAATTATTACAGACGATATTTTATGTTACGAAATTAGACACAAAAACGTACTTTCTCTGGAGAAAAAAAAACATGCCTATTTTTCGACAGATTCGGATTTCTAACCCTCAAAACATAGGGGGTCGACGCAATCTCGAAAATATGATCCAAGTAGTTTGGTCAGAAGAGCGATCCAAAGTTTGGACCTCTTAATGTTAATTTTACTTTTTGCTTAATTCGCTATATCTCAAGAAATTTTTAAACGAAATAAAAAATTTACACACAATTATAAATTTTGTTTTGCCACAGATAATTCCATGCAAAAAATAATTTTTAGTGAGTATTTATTTTTTTATTATATTATTTAATAATAGTCGAAATTTTTTTCAATAGTAAGGTATACAATTTTTTCATCATTTTAAAGAATGTATTTTTACATGGCAAAATACAGAATTTTAGCAAAATTGGTCGAACAGTTCTTGAGAAATCTTAAAAATACGACTTTTTCGAAAGATGATTTCTCAGAAATCATATGACCGATTTCACTGAAATTTTGTATTTTGTCGTTTGAAATTACATTCTTTAGAATGATATAAAAAACTGCATAACTTACAATTCAAGGGTTTTTCGACTATTATTAAATAAAATTGTAAAGCTGATAAATATTCACTGAAATTGGTTTTTGCATGGAATTATTTGTGGCTAAACGGTTTTTATAATTGTGTGCAAAATGTTTTTCAATTCGCTCAAAATTTTCGCGAGCTATGGCGAAATACGCAAAAAGTAAAATTGACATAAAGGGGTCCAAACTTTGGAAAGCTCTCCTGACCTAACTGTTGGGACCATATTTCCCAGATTGTGGCTACCTCCTATATTTTGGATGTCAGAAATCCGAATCCGTCAAAAAAAAGGTATGTTTATTCAGAGAAAGTATGTTTTTGTATTTGATTTCATAACTTAAAATATCGTCTGCACTAATTAATATGCATATTTAAGGTTTGAGTTTTTTGTCAATTCGTCTTCCCTTGTTCTCTTTTTCAGACGGCTCATAACTCAAAATGAATATTCTAAAAGGAAATTCATTGCTGGAATTATTTTGCCTCCATAATAGCAAAATAGTACAATACACCATGTAAAATAGTAAATAGTAAAATACACAATGTGAAGCATTAATGATCAAACTACTGTTAAAAGTACTGGTGGCAGGTATAGATACTTTTTACTGTAAAATCCATTTTTTACCGAAACATGTTACGGAACAAAAAATCGAATAAACCGTAATTTTTAGAATAATTTTACAACAATTATCGAGCAGTGGTGGCTCAGAGGATAGAGCGTTCACCTTCCAATGAGTTGAACCGGGTTCGAGTCCTAGAAATAGTTGGTCGATACGAATTTCGCACTCGGCTCGCACCGACCACAGTGCTGACGTAAATTTTCCTCAGTGGTGGATGAATCATGGATTAGAGTCCTCATGCCGTTAGACTAACCGTGGTAGGTTTTCGGGGGTTCTCCTCTCCATGTAACGCAAATAAGGGTTAGTTCAATCAAAAAGTCTTCCACGAAGGCAAATTTCTACCAATACTCGACCCAGAAGTTCCCTTGTCTTATGGATTGAGTTCAAAATTACAAGGCTACGGAGTTGAACATTAGTAGTCGTAAACCCAAAAAATTGGGTCACTTGTTCTCAACGACGTTTATAAAATAAAATAATAACTATCGTAAAATCACTGGATTACTCTAATTAAATGAACATTACAGTAAAAATTACGGCAATACATTTTAAGATGGTTTTAACGGAGGATGCACCCATTTTATATCGCACTTTATGTCAATATTTCGTACCGTAATTTGATTC